ATAATTATAGTACTTGCTATTTTGGATCTTAGTGGAAGAGGCAAGGAAGGAGTGTCACTAAATCAACCATCTTGAGGCTTTGCGTCTCTATTCTTTTAATAGTTGGAGATGTTATAGGTGATTTTTGAGAAAGTATATTGAAGAATCGTTTACAAATTTAAGAAGATTTTCGCGTGGCTGCCTGGTTATAGGTATGGAGAAATATATTGTATAAAAAGTCTCTGTTATAAAAAGTATATTTGTAATAAGCAAATCTAGATCATGTCTAATCATTCATTCTAATCATTCAGTCTGCAGGGAAATGATTCTGATTAGCGCTAACAAAAAGTACTATTTTATAGCTATAAATCTACCATTTAAAATAGTATTTTAGAAAATAAAATTACTAGGCCTACATGAAGGATCCATTTAATAAAACAAATTTCAAAAACATTTAGTGAATGTAGCTTAAAATGTATAACAAAATAGCAATGATTTCTGGGTTTTAGTTTAGATTGCTTCTTAAAAATGATCAACATAGCTGGGCTTGGTGGCTCAGCCTGTACTCCTGCGCTTTGCGAGGCTGAGGTGAGTTAATTACCTGAGCCCGTGGGTTCGAGACCCAGCTGGGCAACTTGGCGAGACCTCATCTCTACAATAAAAAAAAAAAAAAAAAAAAAAAATTAGCCGGGTGTGGTAGCACGTGCCTATAGTTCCAGCTACTTGGAAGGCTGAGGCGGAAGGATTGCCGGAGCCCAGCAGGTAGAGGTTGCGGTGGCTGGGAGCGTGCCACTGCACTTCAGTCTGGGTGACAGAGTGAGACTCCGACTCAAAAAAAAAAAAAAAGATCAATAAAGGAGTCTAAAGGATATCTTTCTAATCAATAGTTGATACTCCAGCATTTACAAGATCATTAACTTCAACATTGAAGCAAGGTACAATATAAAGAGTTCACAGTCTAACTACTAATCAACTTTCAAACATTAAAGCTTTGAGAGTAGAAAGGGTCACAGAGGCCAGGTGCAGTGGCTCATGCTTGTAATCCCAACACTTCAGGGGGCCAAGGCAAGAGGACTACTGACACCAGGAGTTCAAGACCATTTGGTATGTATTAAGTCACCATACCAAGTCACTGGCAGTACTCACTTTTAATTAACAAGGCTTGTAAATGCCATCACAAACTGGACAATAACACAAATGAAGATATTAAATGTATTTCATTATTTTAAATCTCAAATCACTCAAAGAAAATATTTTTCCCATTGAAGAAAAGCCTATTCATTCCAAAGTAAAACAAAGGTATTTCCCCTTTTTGCCTTCAAGTGTACATAAAAAGAGAAATTTTACTTTTTACCCGAGATAATGAGCCTATTTTCCTCATCCAACTGATGCAATTTCATTATATTTATTTTTGGGCTAGTATTCATTATAGGGACAATTTCTGTAACCATTCAGATAATTCTAACATACATAAGCATAAGGTAATACCATCCGCATGAATTAAAGTAAATGAAAAGAGTCAAGGATTTTTGAAACTTCTGTTGTCCACAGAATCAAAAGAAAGTTCGTGCCATGAGGAAATCCTGCCCCCAAAGCCGTACTGACTACTACTTGCTCAGTCACAGGAGGAAGACACGTCTAACTGGTGACATTTTTGACTGTCTACCCATTTCCTTTGCATTCCTTGCTAAAAGAATCCTGATTTTCTTCACTGTCCAGTAGCCGCTTAGAGAGAAGCTGATCTCTCTAGATCCAGGGAATGAATCACACAAAACTTTTTTCCATTTTGAAATAATTTCAGCCTTAAAAAGAAGTTATACACACAACAAAGAGCACTTGTATACCTATCACTCAGCTTCTCAAAATTGTTAACATCTTGCATGATCATAATTATCAAAATGTAAAAATTAACATTGGTATTATAGCTGTGATGTTCACCAAATGGTGATTTTCTATTTCCATCATACTTTCTACATTTACTAGTTGTAAATCTACTAAGAAAGAGCTGTTCTTTTATCTCCGGAGAGTATAATTCATCACTAGCATTACAGGTTGAACATTCCTACTCTACAAATCTAAACTCCAAAATGCTCCAAAATCTGAAACTTTGAGTGTCAATATGACACGAGTGGAAAAGTTTACAAACACTCAGTACAAACTTTGTTTTATGCACAAAATTATTAAAAATATATAAAATTATTTTCAGGCCATGTAAGGTGCATATAAAGTATAAATGAATTTTGTGTTTAGATTTGGGTCCCATTCCCATGATCCCTCATTATGTACATGCAAATATTCCAAACTATGGGAAAAAAATCCAAAATCTGAAACACTTCTGATCCCAAGCATTTTGGATAAGGAATACTTAATCTGGATTTCATTCCTCAAGTTGCCCCAGATTTTGCCATTGCACTAAATTTGTCAAAAACTTGTTTTTACAAGTTGTCTTCTGTATGTTTTTGATGTGCCCCCATGAGCTTTTGAATATTTCCTTATTTTCTGGCACCATATAATCCTTCAATTCATCTTGTACTTTGAATGCTCCAAGTTCTGAAACTAGCCATTTCTCCAAAGAAATCTTAATTTCTTTTATTGGAAAAAGTTTAGAAATCAAGATCTGAACTTTAGGTGTTCGTGTGTGTGTGTGTGTGTGTGTGTGTGTGTGTGTGTGTGTGTGTGCGCGCGCGTGTGTGTGTGTTTACTGACGTGTAGTTGATTCTAGGCTCTATCGACGGACCGAGTCTAGGAAACAATATATGTCCTTACACACATGAAGACATATCTGTTTCTTTTTCTGTCTGTCTATACACCAAAACTATAAGTTCATATTGATAATTCCAATTTCCATCCAACAGCATAGAATTCATTCTATTCTTCTCCCTTTCTATATGCTGTGACTCATTTTTACTGACAGTGATAATCTTGGCTCTCATTAATGGCAATATGCATGAAGTAATATCAGTCTTTATTAGCCTGAGTCAATTATTTGAATTCAATTCCCTTTGCCAGTTATTGTTTAGGAATTACCACACAATTATAGTCAAAGAGCTAGAGGAAGTCTGCTGGGGACTGCTTCTGGCAAAATTTTATAATCAGTAAAGAGACTCAAAGGATGTTCTGCAAGTGATGGCTAGAATGATGATGGCCATCTTGCCATTGTGCACCGATTGACTCAAGACTAAGAGGGTAAGACAGAACACTGAGAATGGTAGAAATAAATAACCTAAGACTTTCATGATTTTGAGTTATCTGTTAACCAGTTCTATAATGTCACTTCTTTGGGCCTTCCATGTGAAAGCGTACTTTTTTCCTTACTGCAAAAGTCACTTCTGGTTGTTTTTCTTTTTCACGGCAAGAAAATTTCCTTTCTAGTAAGATACACATCCTAAATTTACTACTCAGAAAAGGTTTATTTAATTTCCTATATAAGTAAAAAACAGCTCTTAATTGGGGAAACTAAACACAGATCTACCACAGAAACAGATAAATGGGCTAGTCTATGGTTAAGGAATTTTAAATGATATCTGTATGGGGGGAACATGTATACTTTCAACAATGAAAAGAATTTTAAAGTGTTAACAATTAAGAAGAATAAAAAACTACTATTTGAAACAAAACTTTTAAAAATATATAACTGTATACTTCTGAATCTAAGTTTACTTCCAAAAATAACTTTCTAGATGTAAAGAAAAATTTCTCTATTTTCATTTTCATCTTATAATGGAGAAAACAACTGGCTATGTTCTAGTAAGTAGTTAGTAACTCTAGCTTTCAGTTACAGCCATGGAAGCTTTAGGCACATGAAGTAACTGAAGATATATACTGTAAAGCAAATGCAGTATTATTAATCACATTGATTTTTGTTACTGGTGCTGATATTCTACTATATCCTCTGTTTCAGATTCCAGAATGTGGAAGCTCTAAAGAACCATGAGTAAAATCTGCTCTTAAAATTAGAAAACCAGATCGGATTTAGGGTTTAATAACCAAAACAATTCAGGGGATCTTCTGGTAATTTAAAACTACTTAAGAAGAGGCTTGGAATACTGATGTAGTTTCCACTTCTTATATGAGTTTAGAAATCCCAGAATTATTCTGCTCCCCTTTTTGCAGTATTTTGAATTCCAAGTATTAACTATGGTTGAGAAAAGAATGCCATTGACTGACCAAAATAAGTTCACAGATCAGTTGCCATTTTAATAAATACTTTACAGAAAAAGTTTATATATATGTATGCTATATTAAAATGTAAGTATTCATATGCAAATATTAACTAAGGTTATATTTAAAAGTACCAAGTTAAACTTTTTTACTTTAGAATTTTGGGGAAAAAAAAAAACAACTGCTAACTATTCAAGGTCCATACTAAGTAAAGGTATTTTCTTTTTCTTTTTTTTTTTTTTTTAGAGTTGGAATCTCACTCTGTCACCCAGACTGGAGTGCAGTGGCCACTCACCTCAGCCTCCAAAAGCACGGGATTACAGGCTGAGCCACCAAGTCTGGCTTGCTACTTTCTTTATAAATAAGACATTAAGGTCAAATAGGACAGCCATCCCCAAACTTTTTGGCATCAGGGACCAGTTTTGAGGAAGACAATTTTTCCACAGAAGGGATGGGGGATATACAGTCAAACCTCACTGTTAATCTGTATCTGTAGCTGCTCTCCAGTGCTAGTATCATGGCCTCAGCTCCACCTCAGATCACCAGGCATTAGATTCTCAAAAGGAGCATGCAACCTAGATCCCTCACATGCACAGTGCACAACAGGGTTCACACTCCTATGAGAATCTAGTGCTGCCACCGATCTGACAGGAGACAGAGCTCAGGTGGGAATGTGATGATGAAGAGTGGCTGTAGATATAGATGAAGCTTTCCTAGCTTGCCTGCTGCTCACCTCCTGCTATCTGGCCCAGCTCCTAACAGGCCACGTTCTGGTCCGTGGTCCAGGGTTTGGGTGTCCCTGAAACAGGGGTACCAACTACTTTATAAATAAGACATCAGTGTTGCATACTGATACTTACAAAATTCGTTCCTTTTTCAGTTTGGTTACTTTTACTTGTAAACCTAAAAATTAAAAAGAAAATAGCAATTTATTTATACATTTTGCTATATTTTTAAACCAGTTTTCTAACTTTTTTTATGAGTCAAACGCTATCCTAGTAAGCCACTTCAGTCTCACCTCTGAATAATGAATCAGGTCCCATTAGTTTATAAAGAATATTCCCCTTACTTGTACCCTGAGATCACAAAAGTATATCTGCCACATTATTGCTTTTAGTTTGTCACATAACAGCCAAGCAGAATGAAATTTTCCCTTCCTAAAGTGAGTTATTTCTTAATAGCAAGGGGCAATCATATAATTAGCAGTTCACTATAAATGAAGATCTATGATATGACACAGCCTATGTATTTGCTAACAGCAATGGTGTTTGTATAGCCTCAAGTCTACTGGGATTAAACCAGATTGTGGCAGGAAGTCTAGGAACAAAATTGCTCACGGGAAAGGTACTTAACAAAGGGCATTAGTGTTTTTATCTCAAGATATCTGTTACGTGTATTTTTAATTTTAATTAAGTATGACACAAAACATAAGAGAAGACCACACTACCTGTGAGACTCAGGTAGTTGCTGAGAGGGAAGTAGACTGATTGGAATTGAAACTGCAAAAAAGGTTATGAACAAAAGAGGGTGACATTTCTAACTTTCATGAACAGTAACGAGAAAACTTTCATTAAACAAATACAAAAATAAATATAATATCACTAGCAACTAAATAGAAATACAAACCAACAAAACTACTTAGCGAAATAATAAAAATTATAATATCTAGTACTGATAAAAGTGTTATAACCTATACTCCCATTGCTGAAGATACTATAAATTGATACAATTCTTTTGGAAAGTAATTTAGCATACGTCAAGAGTCTTTTTCATCAATATCTCACTTCTTAGATTCTAACATATAGAGAAACTCATAGTCACAAGAAATACGAACAATTTATAGCAATATTTATGGGCATTTTTTTTTTCCTTTTCTACTCCAGGATTCTCAGAGAGAAGATGGAGGGAAGATGATTGTTAGGTCAGAAATATATCCCAGCAGGACCTCCAAATGTTAGGTCAGGCACACCAAGGGGTGACCGGTGTCTGGTTTACAATTCAGTGCCGTGAGAAGGATGCAAAGAACTGCACAGAAGTTGGATTAGAAAATATAGTTTATTTAGAAAGTAAATTAGAGAGAGAGGGAGGAGATTCACTTCTCCAAGGTAGGGGAGGGGGCCAAGGCTAGGAAACATGGCAACCATGGCTTAGCAAAGCAATGGCCTATGGACATGATCAAGTAAAATATTATGTAACCACTTGATGAAATAATGCACAGATACTAAAGTCACTAAGCAAAAAAAATTATGCCTATTTAACAACACTAAGCTGTTTGAGATATAAATATGTCATACAAGTCTGTACAGTCTCTGATTAAAACTATTTCAAAACACATACATAACATGAAAGGATAAAAGAACCCTCAGTATTTACTTTTTGATTTCTAAATCAGTTTTACTAATCTACAATTTCCCCAATTATAGATATTCTATTTACTTTTTAAAACAAATTGCAGCTGGGCTCAGTGGCTCAGTCTATAACCCCGCGCCTTGGAAGGCCGAGGTGAGTGAATTGCCTGAGCCCACGGGTTCGAGACCCACCTGGGCAACTTGGCAAGACCTCATCTCTACAATAAATCAAAAAAATCAGCCGAGCATGATAGCATGTGCCTGTAGTTCCAGCTACTTGGAAGACTGAGGCGGAAGGATCGCCGGAGTCCAGCAGGTCGAGGCTGCGGTGGCCGGCAGCGTGACACTGCATTCCAGTCTGGGCGACAGAGTGAGACTCCAACTCAAAAAAAAAACCCCAAAAAACAAATTGGCTAGAAGGTTTAAAAGTTCAATACTCACTCAAGAATTTCTTTTACCTGGTGGCATAGTTAGTTGCCAATAGTTATTAGCTGATTTCTGAAAAATCAAAGTTTACTATTTGCTTTTCATAGTTCATAGATTTTAGTAAGTTATACCTTTAGAAAACCTTTCCATATAATGTGTGTCATAACATTAATATATTTATCATTTCTAAAAACAGAATTTTTGATTATCTGTTTAATTGAGTACAATCTTTTAGACAAAAAAAATTTAGACAAAAGCTTAACTAAACCAAGCCTATACATTTCCTAACCCGTCACATAGACACTGATGGAGAAGCTGCCTCTCTGTTTCCCTCAATGGTAATGATTTAATGTCAGAAAAATCTGGGTATTGTGGAAAAAAAAGGTTTTGGAAATTTTGTGGGGTGTTACAATTTTGCCCTATATTTTTCTAATTTCACCTCTAGAAAATGTCCAACTAATATGACACATTTTACCTCAATGGGCCATTAATTTGAGAAAATGTTATGAATAAACTCGTACTCTAATGTACTTCAGTGTTCACAGTAGCCAAATACCAGAAACAACCCAAGCATCTTTCAACAGGTGAATTGTTCAAAACAAAAACAAAAACAAAATAAAACCTGTGGTGCAACACATGCACTACTCAGCAATAAAAAGGAAGGAACTTTTTTTTTTTTTTTTTTTTTTTTTGAGCAGGAGTTTCACTCTGTTGCCCAAACTGGAGTGCAGTGGCCGCTCCCGGCCCCGCAGCCTCGACCTGTTGGGCTCCAGCGATCCTTCCGCCTCAGCCTTCCAAGCAGCTGGAACTACAGGCGCGCGCTAACACGCCCGGCTAATTTTTTTTTATTTATTATAGAGATGAGGTCTCGCCAAGTTGCCCGGGCGGGTCTTGAACCTGCAGGCTCTGGCAATCCACTCACCTTGGCCTTCCAAAGTACTGGGATTACAGCTGAGCCACTGAGCCTGGCCAATATTAATTTATTAGTTGTGATAATTTACTACAGTTAGACAACAAGATGATACCATTGGGGAAAATTGGGTAGAGTACACAAGATTTCTTTGTATTACTTCTTACAACTACATATGAATCTACAATTAGCTCAGTATTAAAAGTCTAAAAAAAAAAAGCCAAAATGGAAAACGATTTGCCCTAGAAGACTTGAAACACCAGTAAAATATGAAACATAAGAACAAAGGGAAAACTTGTCTTTTAAATATATTAAGAATAAATGATAAGAATAAAAATTGGCATAAGCTTTTGATTTTTAAAAACCTTTTCCATCTGTCAAGTTCCTAGCCTGGAAGCTTCCTTCTCTTTCAGGTCATGATGATAAACCCATGCGACCTTCAAAGTACTTAACAAAGCACCGAATCACTCTTGAAGAATTACAGAAAGGACTGTGACCCTCCTGGGCCAAAGACTAGAGTCAGCAGTTTTCCTGGTCTTCTTCCCTTCCTAAAAATGTGTGAGAATTTACTTGTTGACAGATTTTCTTGTTTTTAATTTTGGCTGACTTCTAAAAATCAATCTACCTTTAGAAGTGAAAAGTGCAGCCAATGATGAAATGGATTCCTGCCATGAGTCATTTTAAGAAAGGAAACAATGAGACAGAAAATCCATATAAACTTCAAAAGAAAATTCTTGGGAAATATGGAAAGAACTACTCTTTTATCTTGTAAGCATTCAACACCTGTGAGGCATTTGTTCTGTCATGCAGATCAGCCCCCAAACAGGTTTATAAGTGTATGTATGTGTGTGTGTGTGTGTGTGTGTGTGTGTGTGTTTAAATTTTAGCATTTGCCATTCATCAAGTCAATTAGGCATCTACAATTAGAACCCCTATAAAGTGTGCTTTAATCCTGCTCCACACCCATCGGAAGGAATGAAGCTATACAACAATGCAGCTCCTGTATGAACAGGTAGTCTGTTCAACAAAGTAGCTGGGATTGTAACACTGGCAACCTGAGCTACCTATTGAGGAAACAGTGCTCAAAACACGAAGCACAGTGCTCCAGTTAACCCTACAACCACTCATGTATGAATTTTAGAGGAAATGAAACAGTCAAGAGCAGGTATGCGTAGTTATAAAATACCAAACAGATTTAAGAAAGAGTTCAGAAATTAGGTAATGATTCATTTTGTTAAACATCAACAAAACCATTGTTAATTCTTACTCATTTTAGTTCTCTACCTTGAACAAACCATATATAATATATGTACTGTCACTTTAAACAGTTATTTATGGTACTGAGTTATAAATGGTAAGACTAACATCATCTTTCTCAACAACCAGTGGTTTTATATACAGATCAGGTAATTTAACTTCTACTAAAAATACTACTAGTAGTATTTCTATAATTGCCTAATAAATTATTTCAATTCCAAAGTGAAAACTCTTTTCTACACAAAATGCAGTCATATTTAAGGTGTGCTTTTTTTGCTTAAGATTTAATTATCTCAAAACGGGTAAGTTAATTTTTGTGAATTTTATTGAATTTACAGATGCGAATCCAAATTAAAAAATGATAAGCATGAGAGTTGGGGATAGCATTCTTTTTTTTTTTTTTTTTGAGTTGGAGTCTCACTGTCGCCCCAACTGGAGTGCAGTGGCATGCTTCCGGCCACTGCAGCCTCGACCGGCTGGGCTCCGGCGATCCTTCTTCCACCTCGGCTTTCCAAGTAGCTGGAACTACAGGCGCATGCTACCACGCCCGGCTAATTTTTTGATTTACTGTAGAGATGAGGTCTCGCCAACTTGCCCAGGCGGGTCTCGAACCCGCGGGCTCAGGCAATCCACTCACCTCAGCCTCCCAAAGCGCGGAATTACAGGCTGAGCCACTGAGTCCGGTGGGGATAGCATTCTTAATAATGATGTCATAGACCAAAATTACATGCAATTCCTTTCACTGTTAATTTGTGTAGACTTAGTATAAAGTTTTCTTTTTGAAATTTTTTATGAAACATCTGAGAAAATAAACAGAGCAACCAAAAGCTGAATCAAGAACTGTTTATCCTGTCATATGAGACCCTCCATACTTGCCCATTTCTTCAAAGGTACTCCAATTTTGCCCCCCAAAATCTGTCTAGTTTTCTATGAAACTGATTATCATATTTACTAGATAAAGA